AAACTCACAGTTTATTCGGTTAGTTATACATTACTGTTTGATAATTACTTAATGATATAAAAAGTGTCTTATTCAGTAACTCGTTTTTAAAAGTTCAACAATTTATTAATTTAGAAAAAAGTTCGGCAACTTAATTCAATGATTTATTTATTCAAAAATAAAGTTAAAGTATTTAATCATTTAAAATAAAAAAAAATTGTTTTTTTTACTTTTCCTTATTGTTTTCAGCAAAATAACATCAAAATTATAGTGGTTGGGGATATTTATTGTTAACAATTTAATATTAATTTTTAAATCTGGCAAGAGATTTTAAATATAGGGTAAATTGCAAGAAAAAATAACGTACTTTAACTTATGATTGTTTACCTAATTGTTTATCCGGTAAGCGTTTACCGATAGGAGTCAACACTATGATTTATTTTGATGCGTAAGATTTTAGTATATCAAAACATATTGAATGCAACAATTTAGTGGGTAAGCATTTACCTGGATAAGAGTCGTCATCCTCACTTACCGGGTAAGACTCTTCATCATTCTCATTGCTCTTACCCAGTAAGATTCTTGACCCTTCTCATGTTCATCCGATGAGGGAATTTATCCGATAAGTACTTATCAAGTAAGTGTTTAGTAAAACGACCCCTTAATTCTTATTCTATGTAACGTACTTTCAAAACTTTTATTTTTGTACAAAAGGTGTAAAATTTTAAACATTTAGATACACGTGTAACCGGCTGATTTGACGAGTGATGTGGTATAAAACTCAGTAATATTTGTTGAATCATTAATCGGATGCCACATCCCTAGTCAAATCAACATGGTAACCAGTTAATGCTTCAACCGATTCCCCGGGTACTTAAATGTTTAAAACTTTACATCTTGTGTGCCAAAATATAAGTTCTAAAAGTATGTTACCCAAAATAATAATCAAATTAAAGTACGTTACTTTTTCATACAATTTGCCTTTAAATATATAATTTTTGTATCAATTTTGTTGACGATAAATTTGTGAAAATAAAAACAATTATCATTACATTAAATAAAAATGAAAATAAATTTTGTAAAAATAAAAATAATATAAAAAATAAAAATAAAATCTTATCTAAATTTATCATTTTTAACTAAAAGCTATAAAAACAACTTGTGGGCCTTCTAATTTGTAGAAAGTATTGGGCCCAAAGTTAAGGCTTGAGATAGATTGATTTCTTTGCTTATTGGGCCTGACCCACAACATGCTGGGTTGGGCCTTCTGATTTAGAGAAAATAAAACTCATGTGTTTATCATGTTTAAAAATTCATATATTTTTTAAATTCAAGTAATTAATGTGTTTTTAAGTGTATTTTTAAAGTCGTTTGCACAAATTCTAGTTGTCGGTTGATGAGAATTGTATTTCAAGGCGGCCCTGCAAGACTTGTTTATCGTACGGGTTTGGCCAACGACACATGTCTACGGGGCTGAGGCTCCTACTGTTGATCGACAAACAGGCGGAGGATGGACATGTTGCTTCTGGCCCGGATCTTGACTTAGACGCGTTTAATCATAATCCAACACACGGTAGCTTTGCATGCTCGAGGCCCTGATTTTTCAACCAAGTGCGATGACCAACTGTGTAAATGAATGGTTTCTCTCGTACTAGGTTGGATTACTCTTGTGACATTGTCGTCAGTGAAATAAAACTAATCTGCCTCACGACGGTCTAAATCCAACAATTTGGAGTTATATATTTTTTGTAAGTTGAGGGTTTTAGGAAATTATTAATTCTGATATCAAAGATAGATGACATGTTTTTATATTTAATGTATTTGAGTGAGGGGTTGGGTTCCGGTGAGAAGGAGAGTTAAGATAAATACATTTTTCACCCTTTGATGTACATTAGGATGAGATGCATCAGATCAATCACCGATTCATGAGTGAGTTTGAGATCAAAGTTGATCAAGGTCCAGATCCCTTCGTATACTTCTCACCTTAACTCTCTATATCTCACACAATCCTTCACATGTGAGCAATAGAAACATAAGAACAAACAAGCAGGGTTGCGATTGTTGTGTTGCGATAACAGCAGATGCTATAAAGGCTTTAAACCCTTTGTTGTGAAAGCTCATATGGATGCAATGAAACCAACACGTGCACATTGTCATTCTGAGCGATAGAAACGATATAAATCCAGGTTTCAACATGGAGATCCTATATTTAGGCGTACGAGACAGGAAGAAGGACCGATGGTTTTGAGGGTGAGAGTGTTTTATGTTCAAGATTTATTCAGTTTTTTTTTTTATTAATTTTATTAAATCACAAATACCTGTATCTATGCAACATACACTTGTACAACACAAATGAAAAACTCAAAAAAAAAAAATGTAAAATGACCAAAATACCCTCACCCAATCAACACATAACAGGACTTAACAGTTACTGCTCATGACCATTAGAACCAGTGACGTTTTCCGTAGCAAAATCAAAACCACAAGTATTACCTGGTGCACTTATTGAAGTCAAGTGACCAAAACCAAAGTTTTGGTAAACCGTAGGGACCATTTTGTAATTTGCAACTAATGTTTTAATAATGAGTTGTACATTGTGCAATGTTGGGTTGTACATTGGGTGGTCAAAGTGGGCTTGGCGGGAAAAGTGGGGGTTGGGGTTAACCGAAACTTAAAAGATCGAATCTCCCCATTCATCATGCCGGTAGAACCGGTCATCATTTTGAACTATTTTTGTTTAATTCCTAAACTACCCCTTATCCGTCACTCTCTTATCCTTTTTATTTTATTATATTTTATTAATTTATTATTATTATTTGTATTTTTTTAATTACTGATGTGGGATGGGACCCGGTGCAAGTGACAAATTCAACATTTTTAATACGTATTTTAAAAAACGATTTTAAATCTATACTCAATAAATCAGACTTGAGATCACGTGAAACAGATTGGTTTCGTGAGACCACTTTTTTTACATTTGAAATTTTATAGCAAAATGTTGTTTTTACTGTAAAGATTCGAATTTTTTTTATTAACTTGAATATTCAACCCGCTATGCGAGCCGACTAATCTCAGGACGACCACCTGCTTTATCGATAGTCCGGAGTCACCGCATTTAAACTTTCATGGCCACAAGAGGATTTTTATTCCTCATTGGATTTGAACATGGGACCTCCACGTACTTTTAGCCTTTAGAGTCAAGTTCAAACCAATCAGACACTGCCCTTGTGGTTAAGATTCGACTTTTTTTTTATCTTCACAATGTTTTGCTGTGAAGTTTCAAATGTAAAAAAATGGTCTCACGGGTCTCACGAAAACAGACTGGTCTCACGTGATTCCAACCCCAATAAATCATATTAATTATATTTTTTTGTGTTTTAATCATATTTTTTTTAAATTTTAAAAGTAACAAAAAACAGTTTACTTTGCATACTAAATTAAGAAAAAATAACTGATGGAAAACATATATAGTAAAGTCATTTTTTAAAGATAACAGTATTATTAAGCAAACAGGTTAAGAATATACTGAACACGTTATTATAAGATGCAGAGGCCAGACGAATACAATCGCATAATCATATGATTGTTTTAAATATATCAGTGGAAAACTTGGAATAACTGTTTAAACTGATTATATTCATAGCATTATCATTTAAAATCACAATTGGTCGTAGTCGAATTTCTATGCTTTAGATGCTATAAAGTATATATATATATATATATATATATATATATATATATATATATGCATATGTATATAGGCAGACAGTTCATTTGATAAGTGGTAAATATTTGAGAAGTAAAAAAGTGATTCTAGTACTTCATCTGGTCAATATTTACGGCTTTAACTGTAAAGCACTGGATAATTCCTTGCAATGGTATGCGGAAGATAGAAAGGTTTTTTGTAACCTTTATAAATAAGCGGCAAACGAGTTCATATTGAACTCATGTGATACACATATGAACTATATGTTCATATGTTATTCCGTTAATTAGTTCACATGTGAACTATTTAGTTGATTTGTATATAAACCCACAGGTTCATATATGAATCAGTTAACTTGTTCATATGTGAATCAATTAATTAGTTCATATATGAATTAGTTAATCAATTCATACGTGAATCACACGGGATCATATGTGAATTAAAAGAGTTAATATATGAATCACATAGGTTCATATATGAACCCGTTTGCCGCCTATTTGTAAAAGTTACAAAACTGCCTATCTAATTTTCGTTTAATCAGTTAAAGCCACAAATATTGACCAGTCAAATCCGATCTTGACCATATGAAGTGCTAAGTACACTTATCTACTTCTCAAATATTTACCACTTCTCAAAATCACACACACACACACACACACACACACATAAAAGGGTTTTAATTTACAAACCATGTAATTTTTATTGAGATATTTTTAGAAATGATGAGATTTATTTATTGTGATTTGAATATTTATGAAAAATTATCAGAGTTCATACGTTATGATCAATGCTTTATATTAAAAAATAATCGAGATATTTATCAGAGTAGATGAACGGTTGAGATTTGTTCATATGGTTTTTATTAATGGTTGAGTTTGTAAATGAAAGGGTTGTTTGACATTTGCTGAATGGTTTGGTGCAGAATGATTAAAAAGCTCTTATGGTATAATGCAAAATGAAATATAATTATTTACAGTGAAATTAGGGTCCTGAATAGTTAAGAAAGGAGACCCAAGATACAAAATCATTCAGAAGACTTCAAAACCATTTTCTTTTTGACAAACATGAATTACCTCTTAACGATTCAGATATACTTCTTAATGAAACAATTAAGAGATAAACAAACAATCGCAAAGTATTTTTACTGTTATGAGTTGGGTTTTTGAAAATAAAAAAAGGGGTTTGAATTAAAAAGAGAAAAATGAAAAATGAAAAGGGTAAAAAGGTAAATAGAGCAGGGACGTCTCCAAGCTGTAGTGGGCTGTGTGTAGCAAAAACAAAGTGTGGGGGCATTTCAAAAACCATCTCCACACACACACACAAACACAAACACAAACACAAACACAAACACACTCAATGTGTGTGTGTGTGTTTTTATTTGAGTGATGAATTTCTTTTACTAAAAAGAAGAGATTGATGAATAAAGTGTCCCACTTGTTGTTGTTTTTGTAAGTGTGTGTTTTTTCACACACTCAATTCAAACTCTCAACACCCACACACACACACACACACCAAAACGTTTTTGTCTTTTTGTTTTCCAATTTTGTTTTTCTTGTTGTCGTTTTTGATTTGCAGATAATCGAGAAACTCTGCAACAAAAAGGATTTCGAACAACGATGACGATGATGATGATGATGATGATTGTGTTCTTCTGTACCTGATTCTTTCTGGGCTTCGACTCTGTTTTCAAGATTTTCACTGGGTAAGTTTGAATCATTTTGTTTAATTTTTTATGTTTTTTTTATGATTTTGTTTCGTGATTTTGAGATATGGGTTTTGTTCGAGATTGAAATCTTGATCTGTTTTTCCAGGTTTCTTTCGATTTTTACCTGAAAAACGATTCATCCCATGAAGTTCGAAAGATTGGTTTCGGGGATTTTATTTCCTCAAGATTTTATTTTAAACGAAACCCTTCGATTCATGTGTAATTGCTTCCTCATACAGATTGTAATTTAGGGTTTTCTTTTGTGTTTCTGTATCTTTGATCATACATATATACATATATATATATACACACACACACACACACACATATATATATATATGATTCGGGGTTTTCTTTTGTGTTTCTGTATCTTTGATCATATATGTATATATATGTGTGTGTGTGTGTGTGTATATATATAGAGAGAGATGTAATATATATATATATATATATATATATATATATAAAGAAGTGTTCATCATCCTTGAATTCACTTCCCCAACCCAATTTGGGGTTTTCTTTTGTGTTTCTGTATCTTTGATCATATATATATATATACACGCATATATATATATATATAGAGAGAGAGAGAGATGTAATATATATATATATATATATATATCAAGTGTTCATCATTGTTGAATTCACTTCCCCAACCCAATTTGGGGTTTTCTTCTGTGTTTCTGTATCTTTGATCATATATACATATACATATATACATATATATAGAGAGAGATGTAATATATACATATATATACATATATATATATATATATCAAGTGTTCATCATTGTTGAATTCAGTTCCCCAACCCAATTTGGGGTTTTCTTTTGTGTTTCTGTATCTATATATATATATATATATATATATATATATATATATATGTGTGTGTGTGTGTGTGTGAGTGTGTGTGTATTGAAGTGTTCTTCATTCTTGAATTCAGTTGCCCAAATTGGGGGTTTTTCTGTGAACAGATGTCAAAATGGAAGCTTTTGAAGCTGCAAAAGTTGTTTACAACCGAATTCTGGAAACAGAATCCGAAACGATTACTCGAAAAATAATCGGTTACATATACTTGCTCGACCATGCCGATCGCGAAATGATTCGATTAGCTTTCGGCCCCGATAATTTGATCCAAAACCTGATACAAAAGGCCAAAATCGAGCTCAATTTAGTCATGAAACCAATTCATTCACCTCCGATATCGCCATCACTTCAATTTCGACCGGTTTTGCATTCGAACAGACCCTTTTTGTCCTCACAAATCCCGTCCCCGATGCCGTTACCGTATCCGAATATGGTTTCCGATGATTGTCGGTACCAAAATCAAGATTTCTTTATAGGATTAGGAGCTCAATTCGAACCTTTTAGTCGAGAAATCTCGGGTTTTTCGGAAGATTGTTATAGCCCAGATGGAAATTTTGGATTAAGAGGAAGAAGAGATGGAATTCCATCAAAGATTTGCCATTATTTCAGTAAAGGGCATTGTAAACATGGCAATAATTGTAAGTTCTTTCATGCACAATCGGTAACGGATTTTAACTCGAACGAACTCGATGATCAAGGGGCGTTTTCACCCGGTTCCCTTGAAAAACTCGAGTTTGAGATCACGGAAATCTTGAAATCGAGAAGGGGTAATCCGATTTCGATCGCTTCTTTGCCTATGATCTATTATGAAAGATACGGAAGGACCCTTCAAGCAGAAGGGTATCTAACCGAGAGCCAAAGACACGGGAAAGCCGGTTATAGTTTGACTAAGCTTCTTGCTCGATTGAAGAACAGCATTCGGCTCATCGACAGGTTCGCTTCGATCTTGAAATAAAATTTCAACTTTTATCTGTGTTATCAAGGGTAAAATTGTCTTTTGGTTAATTAATACGGTAATAATTACATAATTCTAAAACTGTATATCGTTTTCATTGTGGAACTGAGAGAGTAGTACGGTTTTGAGTAACGGTTATGATCCAATTTGCAGGCCTCATGGGCAGCATTCGGTGGTTTTGGCCGATGATGCATCAAGATTCATGGAAAACCGATATGAGCGAGCTAATATGAATCCCGGCCCCATCGTTAGTGGTTCGAAGCAAATTTATTTGACGTTTCCGGCCGAAAGTACGTTCACCGAAGACGATGTCGCTAACTATTTTAGGTAAAAACTTGTATATATTTTGGATGGGTCGAATCTATCTATTTTTCATTTTTAGACTGTAACGTTTTGCGGGTTGTGTTTTCTAGCACGTTTGGTCCGGTTCAAGACGTGAGAATTCCGTGCCAACAGAAACGGATGTTCGGTTTTGTAACTTTTCACAATGCGGAAACGGTGCAAACGATTTTATCAAAAGGAAACCCGCATTATGTTTGTGGTGCCCGTGTTCTTGTAAAACCGTATAGAGAAAAACTCAAACTATTTGATAGGTAATCGGTACTTCCTCCGACTCTATATATATAGATATAGATATATGTATGCTCATCTCGTTCCATTGTCGTTCAGGAAGTACTTTGAGAAACTCGAGGCTCCGATGTGTTACCATTCGCACCATATGGATATGGATCATGACCTTCAAGCTCGTAAGATCTTTCTATTCATATGTGAATAATCTTTTATGTTTTTAGCTCAAAATCTTTTTCTCGTAGCCTTTTTATAAGTCGAGGGTCTTCACGGAAACGGTCTCTCTACTCCCTGGTGTGGAGGGCAGGTCTGCATACATTATACCCTCCCTAGACCCTACTTTAAGTGGGATTTACTGGATTTGTTTGGTTTGATTTATTTCAATCCTATAGGGATTGAACGGATTTCCCCATCTCAAAATGACCGAAAGCGAGACATAAATGATGCAACTCATATGATTATGAGAACCCGAGCATAAGTTTAGCTCAAAGCGTTTTTGACTCTTGGAAGCGTTGAACAGGGTTGGAAGCTTCTAGATTGTTCGGTAGACAACTAGAAGACCACGAACTAGCAATGCAACTAGAGATGATGCGCCTCTCGCAACTACAACTGGCACGAGGATCTTCCTACCTTGAAAACACGTTAGATGATCAGAAACCCTCGGAAGGTATGGAGATTTTACGCACTCTCTTTGATTAGCTTCACGTGTTTGTTTCCTAATTCGTTCTCTTATACGTTCTAGATGAAGCTGATGACTCCAAGTTCCAATCTCCAAAACTCGTGTCACATCAGATAGATCACGTTGGTACCAATTACAACGTCCAAGACAAGTATGATCACTTATCATCCTACCATCAATAGTCAGTCAGCAGTGATTGCACCCAATAGTCACTCACTCACTGCNCAGTGATTGCACCCAATAGTCACTCACTCACTGCTCCCAAAGTTTGGGTACAATGATTGTTGACTTACCATCAATAGTCGCTCAAGCGGCAGTCACTGCACCCAATGGTCAGTTGGTCACTACTCCCAGATTTTGGGTACAATGATTGCTGACTTACCATCAATGGTCGCTCAAGCGGCAGTCACTGCACCCAATGGTCAGTTGGTCACTACTCCCAGATTTTGGGTACATTGATTGCTGACTTACCATCAATGGTCGCTCAAGTGGCAGTCACTGCACCCAATAGTCACTACTCCCAGATTTTGGGTACTGTGACTGCCGACTTGCCATCAACAGTTAGCGGTCACTGCCCCTAGATTTTGGTACAGTGACTGCTGACTCACCATCAATAGTCAGTCGGTCACTACTCCCAGATTTTGGGTACTATGACTGCCGACTTGCCATCAACAGTTAGCGGTCACTGCCCCTAGATTTTGGTACAGTGACTGCCGACTCACCATCAATAGTCGGTCAGTCAGCAGTCACTGCTCTCAGATTTTGGGTACAGACTTACCATCATTAGTCAATCAGTCAGCAGTCACTGCACCCAATAATCAGAAGTCACTGCTCCTATACTTTGGGTACAGTCACTGTTGCAAGTCAACAGTCACTGCTCTCAGACTTTGTGTACAGTAGTCACTAACTTACCATCAATAGTCAACCAGTCAGCAGAGCCACTGCACCCAAAATGTGGGTGCAGTGACCGCTGACATGGGTTCTTGTTTCAGTGGAGTAACTTGTAACGGTTTTCCATGTGTAGTGAAAACAGTCGTGGTTTGAATCTTCCGGATAGCCCTTTTTGCATGCAACAAGGGGGGATCTAACAAGCAAATGTAGTTGAAGAACAAATAAAGGAAAGGATTAGAAAGATGAGGGAAGTAAATAATAGCAATTTAATGATGAAGAAGAATGAATAGAAAAGAGTACAGTTTTGTTAGTTGATTACATGAAGGAGAAAGAGAGAGGAGAGATGATGGGGATTGTGTTTTTTTGATGCCAACTAGATAAAGATTTACATCTATTTCTGCATTTTCAATTGTTTTTAGAGGTCAGGTCTGCGTACATCTTATTATTGAGATATAATTCTCTTGATTTTATGTATATATAACTTTTTGATATTAATAGGATTTGCAACTTATTCGGTCAACTATACATGATTGTTTAGTAGTGGGGTTTGATGATACATAAAGTGGTTTATGCAATAAGCTTGCAGGAGAACTTTCTGTAGAAAACCAAGTTATTTTCTGAACATGTCCCTTCTAATTAAAACAGTCTGTTTTCATCTATGAAAAAAGCTCCTGCAAACAAAAACTGTCTTAATCTATACAGGTAGATTAATCTACACATACAACTTTACTCATATAAGATTTAATAGAAAATAAACCAATATAATGGATTTAAATTGTTAGTGATTTTGTTATTTAATATAATTATGGGGAAATCGCATGAAAACGTAATGTACTTTAACTTGATTTTTATTTTGGATAATGTACTTTTAAAAGTTCCATTTTGGTACCTTAGATGTAAAGTTTTAAACATTTAAGTACCCGGGTAACCGGTTAAAGCATTAACCGGTTATCATGCTGATGTGACGAGTGATGTGGTATCCAACTCACTATTATTTGTTGACGTGGTTAGTGACATGAATTTTTTTTAATCTAAAAATTAGTCTTTCATCGGTGACTCAGATACTTAAATGTTTAAAACTTTACATCTTAGGTACAAAAATAAAAGTTTTGAAAATACGTTATTAAAAATAGAAATCAAGTTAAAGTACGTTATTTTTTCCTGTAATTTTTTTTCGTAATTATTTATGTATTGGAAATTTAAAAATGAGGGCATTGGTGTATGGGAAATTAGTGAAATGAGGTTTGACCGCTTTGGTTAATGAATGGGGTCAAAATGGATATTCAAAGGTTTTCATCTCAATGTAAATGTGATATCCTCGAATAACATGTGATTTTACATTAAAGTTATATGTGATTCATGTGATTTTGGCTGCGATTTGAAATCACGGGTCAGGTTGTCTGCACAGTATTGCGTTAATCATTGTTGTAAAATAACACGTGATTTTGTCATTCTCGTATTCTTTTATTTAGGGGCCGTCTACCTAAATGCTTACCCGGTAAGTGCTTAACGTTAGGAGTCAACACTATAATTTATTTTATTGGGTAAGATTGTAGTACATCAAAAAGTATCATATGCAACAATTTACCTGGTAAGCGCTTACCTGGGTAGGAGTCGTCACCCTCATTTACCGGGTAAGACTCTCAATTCTTATCATCGCTCTTACCGGGTAAGATTCTTGGCCCTTGCCATATTCATCTGGTGAGGAAAATTACCTGGTAAGTACTTACCAAGTAAGCGTTTAGTAAACGGCCCCTTAATCATTGTTCTTGAAACTAAATAATTTTAAAATTTTAAAAATATATCTATTTTATAAAATATTAAAGATATTGAAAATATTCTTCCCGGTTATAAAACAATCGATGATAAATATAAAATAAAACAATACCTGTCAAAGAAAAAAGTTATATGATACTTTGTAAATATAAAGACATTATTGTCTCTGGCATGTAGCTCAGTTGAAAATTGGTTGGTTAAATCTATACAAATGCAAGACAAGTCATGGGTTCGATATCAGTCCCTCCAGTTGCCTCAATCGCTGAGTGAATCAAAAAATACCCCCCCCCCCCCCCCAACCAATACGTGTCCTTGAAGACTAGTTTCCTTTGAGACCAATTTACCAGTAATTGACTTTTTACCCAAATATAAATGAACTGGATTACTTAAAAGATCCATAAATCGGGCCCATTGGCATGGATTCAGCAATTCTATCCAAACCACTTCTAAGAAACATCCAATAAAACCACAATGGTGATACATGATTGGTTTGAGCTTGACTCTAAAGATCAAAAGTGTCTGAAGGTTTCATGTTCAAATCCAAGTAGGAATAAAAATTCCCTTATGACAAGGGAGGTTCAAATACGGTGACCTTAAACTACCTGCAAAACACGTGGTCGCCTTGAAATTAGTTGGCTTGCATAACGGATTGGATACTCATGCTAATAAAAGAAATGGAATAAAGATGCATAAGGTGGATGAGGATGATGATCAACATGCCCATTGCTTTCAAACCAAAGTGTGGCCTTTCATGTCACCAAAGGGACATTTTCTCAAAATGCATACCAATCAAAATCATGAACACATGTATAAAGAGACAGGGTTGTTTAGTTTAAAGATATTACTGTTTAACAGAAGAATGTTATTTTTTTCTGATTAACCTGGATATCCGATCCGCTATGTGAGCAAACTAATCCTGAGACGACCACCTGCTTTGCGGGTAGTCCGGAGTCAATTCATTTGAACCTCCATGATCACAAGGGGATTTTTTTTCCTTCTTGGATTTGAACCTGAGAACTCTAGACACTTTTGACCTTTGGAGTCCAAACTCAAACCAATCAGACATCACCTTTGTGGTTAAGAATGTCATTTTTATATATAAGAATATTTGAAACCTCGTTAGAAGATTTTGAATTTAAAATGGGAAATATACCAAAACAACCGTTCCAGACTCGTCGGTAATTTTATATTCGTTTTTCTACTCGATTGACCAAAAGAGTCGAGATTTTTCGCAAGTAGCTTTTCACCAGCTTGCGAATTCTACTTTTTATGAATTTAATAGTAACTTTTAGCAAGTTGTTAAAGTGCTACTTACGAAATGGAGATAAGACAAGTAGCACTTTAGCAACACTTTTAATTACATTAAAAAAAAAAAAACTTTCACGTCAGTAGATACCAAGACGCACTTTAACAACTTACGAAATTGCTACTTTATGAATATTTAGTAATTATTTAAAGTGAAATTCGCAAGTAGCACTTTACCAACTTGCAGAATCTACTTTTTATGAATTTAATATTCAAAAAATAACTTTTTAACAAGTTATTCTTGAAATTTAGACTTGACAAGTAACACTTTAATAACTTTAACAAGTAACACTTCCACATCAGCATATACCAAGTAACACTTTAACAACTTACAAAATTGTTATTTCATGAATATTATATGCATAAAAAGTGAATTTCAAACCACAAGGGTGGTGCCTGATTGGTTTGAGCTTGACTCTAAAGGTCAAAAGTACCAAGAGGTCTCAGATTCAAATCCAAAGAGGAATAAAAATCCCCTTGTGGCCACGGATGTTCAAATGCGATGACTCTGGGCTATCTGCAAAGCAGGTGGTCGCCCTGGGATTAGTCGGCTCACATAGTGGTTGGATATCCAGGTTAATCCAAAAAAAAAAATGAATTTCACAAGTTGCTAAAGTGCTATTGGCGAAATCTTGTAAGGAAGCCATTTAACTTTATAAACACTACAAAAGTAGAATTTTTAGCCTAATTTCCAACATTTTAAAATGAAATGAACATAAATGGACTAAAAAGACGAAATTGTCCTTGTACACAGATAAAATTGTCTCGTATAATCTCAACTCGAAAAAAACTACGGGAATGGAAACGGGAACGGGAATGGGAAATGAACAAGCTTATGTATACCTTTCTACTCACATTTTGTCGTCTCATGAAGTTAAAAACAAGAAGAAAAAGACGTAGTTTGCACGTTCATACGTATACAAAAATTGAACTCGCACGTAGAAACGGTTAATCTCGGTATTCCATGGCCAAAAGATTTCATGTGTCCTCTTGCAGAACCAAATTTAACAAATTAAACCTGTATGAATGAAGAACACAAAATGGTTATGGCGAAAAAGAGAACGGAAAACCAAGTTCATCATAAGCTGGTTTATTTTTTGAGCTTATTGAAAAATCCCCATCTGGTAAAAGTCATAAACTAGCTTTTTGAAAAGTACTTCATGTAGCATTTCAGTAAGCTCCGAGGTTTTTCTTTTTCACTTATTCCGATAATGCCCCTTGTATTTTACATAAATGACGAAAAGCCGTATCCTTTTAGGTAATTTCAAATTGGCTTCTAGTTTATCAGCTAGTTTTTACCAAACGTGACTTGTTTATTAGCCAACAACTAACTTTTCAGCTAACAACTAGCTTATCAAAATTCAGAAGAGGTACCAACCTTGAATGCGTTAATTTGGAGGCGATCTTGGTTTGTCACGAAGCAATGAACAGACGAGCTACAACTTGTCTTGAAATTAGTTGAAGGAACCCGGAAATTACCTGCATTAGAGCGTTAAAGTCGGATCATATAACACCCAAGAAAACTTGCATAAAGTTTTTGGGACAAATGTAACACAGTTTGGTTTAGTTCTGTAACAAAGTTTCCTATTTTGTACTCATTTTGACTGTTGATCTTGTAACATTTGATGACGTAGATACGAAAAGGTTACAACGAAATGGACAGTAAACTTGGCATCCATGTCATCAAATGGTACAAGGTCAACAAGTTACCATCAAAATGGGTAAAGAAAATAAGAAATTATGAAACTTCGTTAGGGAAAATATTCTTATAAATTAACTTTTTGGTCCCTATGGTTTGTTGAAAATTTCTATTTTTATCCTTGTGATTTTGAAATTACAATCTTCATCCCCATGTTTTATACTTCTTAACCTTTTCGTCCTTATGATTTAAACTTTATTGCTTTTTTGGTTCCTGTGGTTTACAATTCATTTTTATATTAGTCCCTCATACTGAAAAATAGTGTTTAGCCTCAGGGACGAAGATAGAAAAGAATTACAAACTATAGGGACAAAAACCGCAATTTTAAAACCACGAGGACAAAATACGCAGTTTTTAACAAACCACAGGGACGAAAAATCTAATTTACTCTATTCTTATTTCCACCGGGGGCTGTTTGGCAATTGTTGAATGGTTTGGTGCAGAATGATTAAGTGGCTCTCATGATATAGTGTAAAATGAAATATAATTTAAAATGAAATATAATTGTTTGGTAATTGTGTACACTGAAATTAGGGCTTTTAATGGTTAAGGGAGATCCATGATACAAAATCATTCAGAGAGTTTTAGAACCATTAAGAGGCAAGACTTTTTTTTTTGCCAAATAAGATTCACCCCTTAACGATTCAAAGGTTGCCTCTTAATGGAACTTTTAAGAGGTAAACAAACCCCTAAATAGGAAATAAACTTCGTTTACAAGCAAGTTAATTGCGTTTTTGTCCCTGTGGTTTGTTGAAAATATCTATTTTCGTCCCTGTACTTTTGAAATTTCGATTTTCATCCCTATGGTTTATAATTTATTCTTGTTTTCGTCCTTATGGTTTACAATTCATTGTTGTTTTCGTCCCGCATACTTAGACGTAGGAGCTAGCCATAGGGACTAAAATTTGCAATGAATCACAAACCACTGACAAAAAACACACTTTCGAAACCACAAGGACGAAAACGTAATTTACTCGTTTGCAAAAAGATATAAGATCACTTACCAGGGTGTACGCTCTACAATGAATAAGCTCCCAAAGAAAATGCAGGATTGAAGTCATATTGGAAGCAAGATTTCGTCCTTTAACAGCATCACAAACGGTCACGATCTTTCGTATTTTTTCGCCAAATCTTTGAGCAATAACCTTTGACGGAAAGCCAAGTATTTATCTACGCTAGTTCCCGCCCATTGCTGACAAAAACTTTCATCCGTTGGAACAAATGAACTCAACGGAAACGGTCCCTTTGGAGCTTTCTTTAACGCAACCAAGAATCTATGGCGGGGTCGGATTCTCTGGTCTAGGGATAGGCTTAGATACGTAGGGTACTTGGTCAAAGACTTCACCTCGTTTTTAAGTTCGTTGACCAAATACAAGTATTTCGGCTTCAAATTTCCCTCGAGGGACAATGAGAACACCTGTGTATCCACGTAAACGCATTAGAACTACAAAATAGATGCATCATCGGTTTTTTTGGCAAAGATTCAACTTAAGATTTGCCTCTTTGCCGAATAGTAATGACGGGTTGGGTTCTGTTGAGAACAACTCATTTTCGTGAAAATGTTGGAAAAAGTGAAGGTACACTTTTGTTGAACTATGTGCCGAGTCAAATGTTGCATTTTCAGAAAGTGAGTACTAAAAACTAAACAAAACGGACCCGGTAAATCCCACTTGATAGTAGGGTTCGGGGGAGAGATGTATACAGACAAGACCTCTATCTCAAAGAGTAGAGTGGTTATTTCCGTGAAGACACTTGGCTTGTGCAAGAGTGTGAGCAAACAGGTAGCAGAAACAAATATTAGAGGGGGATTAGGAACCTAAAATTGATCAGAAATATGTATCGCCCGCAACACGACACGTGGCATATTCATAAAAAATATGAACGAGTTACTCATCATGAAATATTTAACGCCCAACAACATGAATATGTTCATCAAACGTGAGATATAAATGAACATTCATCATGAATGTGTTACTCATGATGAATATTCATCATGAATGTCTTATTCAATGATGAATATTCATCATGAAGAGGAGGCGGTTCCCAGGTTCCTAATCAATTTTGGGTTTGTAAAAGAACTTCCGTCGGATTACAGATACTAAAATAATAACATCTAACCTGTGTGAGGCTAGTCGACACTTTCAATATGTCGGAATTGTGCATGCCGATACTCCTTAAGAAGTTGATTCTAGGTAATAGGCCATCTTCGATGCTATAGTGAAGGAGCTGTGGATGCTTAGTTACCATTTTCACTATATTATCCCTCGGTGCTCCAAGTTCCTTCGTAAGGAATCTATACCGAGCGTTCCAAGAATTATCAATTCGTTGAACCAAAATTTGCGGGCTTAGTTGCACAACTTTACTCAAATCGCTCGTTTTAATACCAACTTCTTCTATCAAATACCTCACGGTAGGCTTTAATGAATTTTCCACACTATAAGAGAAGATGGATGGAGTTGCGGTTATAATCTGTCCAATTCTTGCATCTTGAATCCCCAAACTCGATAAAAATGCCACGTGAGATTTGAGATTGTTCTCGACTGTATACTGCAAAATCTGCGGCTGTCTCATGAGTATCTTCTTTATATCTTTATTTTTCACACCAACACTCATCAAGAACTCCAATCTTTCTTGGGCTGCAGTAACGTTTATCTGAAGCGAAGGCATGTGTCTACCGTACATTTGTATAAAGTGCGAATCTTTAAGGCCAAAAGTCGTAAGGTAATCAAGTAGCGGAAACCATTTCTCGTCTACGTCTATTTCCTCTAATAAATGCCGATATTTGTTCTTTGAAGACTTCCCTGCCTCCTGCTTAAATGAAAGGCCATAATCATCTAAACCAAACCGACCCAGTAACACCCACCAAGAGGTGGGTCCCCTCCCCCCGTTTTTTTTTGGGGGGGGGGGGGGGGGTTACCCAGACCTCATCTTGGATAGATTGAAAAATCGACTAGATGGTTAAAACCTACCTTTTCTTTCCCTTTGGCATTTGAAGTCTGATAAACACCCGTGTAGTCGTTTCTATCTAACATGACCTTCCCATTTCCGTTGATGATTTTTTGCTTCCTACCCATTCGTGAATACATGCTGCCTACAGATTCAATGAATTCATAATGAATATAAAGATATATCCTAACAAGATACTTGGCGCATGCTCAAGGTTCACATGAAGTATCAATGAATACATAATGAATAAAGATATATCCTAACAGGATACTTGGCGCATGCTCAAGATTCACATGAAGTATCAATGAATTCATAATGAATAAAGATATATCCCATCAAGATGCTTGGCATATGCTCAGGATTCACATGAAGTATCAATGANATAATGAATAAAGATATATCCCATCAAGATGCTTGGCATATGCTCAGGATTCACATGAAGTATCAATGAATTCATAATGAATAAAGATATATCCCGTCAAGATACTTGGCATATGCTCAAGATTCACATGAACTATCAATGAATTCATAATGAATAAGAATACATCCTAACAAGATACTTGGCATATGCTCANATATGCTCAAGATTCACATGAACTATCAATGAATTCATAATGAATAAGAATACATCCTAACAAGATACTTGGCATATGCTCAAGATTCACATGAAGTACCTCCGTTGCCATTGGTTGCAGCTTTTGACTTGTGTTTGAGTTTATCGTCATCATCATAACCTGGTCCGGGATCCTGTAGAAACACCATAGAGTCAAAGGGGATAGTATTGACCAAATAATATCGGACTTATACTAAATACACATATGCCTATTAGTATCATACAATTGCTAAGTTCTTGCAATGGGTTCTCAAACACGGAAGCCATCATGATTTATCATTAGTCCAGAACTCAATTTGCGGACTGGGAGTAAGGCTATGTTTGCAAACTGGCTGATAAGCTAACCGTTCTATTAGCTGAAAAGGCAAGCTAGTTGTTAGCTGAAAAGACAGCTGTTGACTAATAAACTAGCTGATGAACTAGTAAAAAACTGGCTGATAATGTAAAACGACCTAAAAGACATGTTGAAAAATTAACTGGAAAAATTATTAGGGGCATAATTGGGAAAAATTGAAAAAAAAAGCCATAGCAATAACATAAAAGCTACTTCAATAAGCTCAGAAAATGACATCTTACGGTTGCCAAACAAGGCCTAAGTTGTGTTGGTTATGGAGCCTATTTGGGACTACAAACTAGTGTTTAACTTTCAAGTCACCCATTTCAGCAAAAAAGTTGTAACAACAAATCTGCAAGTGTCACTTAGGGGCCATTCACCAAATGCTTATTGGGTAAGCACTTACCGGTTGTCAATTTACCTTACCGGGTGAGATTTGAGAATGAGAATGACCGAGAATTTTTCCCAGCACAGCAAGAGGTATAGGAAGGACTGAGAATCTTACCCGGTAAGCAAGGGAGAAAGACTTAAGGGGCTGTTTGGTTGGTGTACATGGGACAGGACGGGACAAAACTCACTGTCCCGCGTTTGGTGCGGCATGAGACAAAGACAAAAACTGGGACAACGTGGGACAAGAAAAGGCTTTTTCATGTTCCACCAAAGTAGGTGGAACAAGATGGGACAAGAATGAGACAGAAACTAAAGTATTATTAATTAACCCTCATTTGATATACAACCTTAACATAATATTTGTTTTAATGGTCACCACCGCTAGTTCCAGCCGCCACCACCATCGGTAGCCACTGTCGGCCGCCTCCACCACCTCCATAACCACCATCGACCACCACCATCCATTGTCACTACCAACGTTGGCCACCTCCACCTTCTCTTCTACTACAATAACCACCTCCATAACCATCGTCAGCCACCGACCACCACTGTCCATTGCTACCACCACTACCACCGTTAGCCACCTTCACCTCTCTTCTACTACTACAACCTCCTCCAATACCTACACAACCATCGTCGGCCACCGACCAACCCCGTTCATCGCCACCACCATGGGCCACCTCACCTCCACCATAACCACTACCACCGTCTGCCACCACTATCGGCTACCACTACCACTATCTACCATATTCGTGTCTTCCGTAACCACAACTATCCATCTCCAGTCTTGTCCTGTCCAGTCCTGTATGCATGACAAACGCTACCTAATTGGACGGGCGGGTTTGAAAAAAACATGGCTTTCTGCATAAAGCTCATCTCTAGAAGCTTACAGAATACACCATTTTATGTATAATTAAGCCACTACTAAATAGTTATACATAGCTGACCGAATAAGATGCGAGTCCCATTAAGCTGCTAACAAACAGGCCCTTGGGGGCTGTTTGGTTGTTTTTCTATTAAGTCTTTGTATGGATAAAGCTGTCTCTTGAATTAACATGTTTGTTGAATTAATCTGTTTGTATAGATTGGAAAGGTTTTTGTTTGGGAGGGCTTTTTTCGTATAGGTAAGGAGAGTGTTTTTTAATTTGGAGGTGCAGGTTTGGAAAATCTCTGTTTTGTGTATAAAGCCCCCTAAAAGCTTACTGAATAAGCCATTTTTCGTATCACGCAGCCACTACCAATCAGTTATGCTGCGAGTCTAATTAAGCTCTATAAGCTGCTAACAAACAGGCCCAAGCATAAGATAGCCCGATAACCCCTTAATGCCAATTATTCGATCAAACTTCAAAACGTGAAATACCATGAAATTAACCACTGAAGAACCCTAAGCCTGCAAAATTCGATAAACCCTAAATCACTTCACGAGGTGTAAGATAAAATAAGCAAGAGAACAACTCACGTCATCGACCCAATCATCGTCATCGTCGTCGTCAATAGCTTCATTTTCATTGTCACTGTCGTAAGGAGAAAGTCTGCGACCGAATCTGGACCTGCGATTCGACTTGAGAATTTTGGGATTTGAATGCGATGATGATACAGCGAACCTGCCACTGGTTCTTCTTCTTCTTCTTCGTGGTGAATTCAATCCATCATGTAAGTACACTTTCAAGGTTTCGAAATAGGTGGAAGAGGGATTTGGGAAGAGAGAATTGAGAAGCGAATTTGATGGATACAGAGAGGAAATTGCCATTTGATTTTGGGGATAAGGATAGAGGACTCTAAAACCCTAATAGTAAGAAGAAGTAGAAGGATATTTGATGTCGCCACCATGGTTGGCTTTGCTGTCGTCTCTCCATTCACACAATTGTTAACCAACGTTTTCATTCCCTTAAACCCCTGACGCGGACCACGATCTCCTGTTCTTTTTTCCTTGTAATAACTACAAAATTATGATTAAGTCACTGAGTGGATGCTTTTTTTTATTTATAAAGCTATCCTAGTAATTCCATTGAGAGGTAACATCTGAATCGTTAATAGATGAATTTTGTTTGGTAAAAATAAAATCTGTTTTTAATGATTTTAAAACCCTTTGAATGATTTTTTTATCATGGGCCTCCCTTAACCATTTGGCGTCATAATCTATATCTATACTATCTATACTATATTATAAAGCATTTGGCTAAAACTCTTAAAAACTCTTAAAACTCTTAAACTCTTAAAA